AGAAATTTTTTTTTCTATTTCATTGTAACAAAATACATTAATTAAAGTATAAGAGGTCATTACAAAAAACTGACTTTAAAGTCAAAAAAATTTACAAAGATAAAAACAAAAAATTATAGAATTTATCATCAGTAGTAACAGCAGTAGGAGGAGCACTATCATCAGTAAAAGCAAGAGGGACAACCTCACCTTTGATGACCTTTACATCTTTCTTCTCGATCCTCAAGATGGCCTTTAACTCATCATTTAGGGCTTTATCTTCATCTTCATCCTCTTCTTCTTTTTTTTCATTTTTTTTGGGTTAATTTGGATAAAGCCTCGATTTGATATTGCTGATGTCAATATCAAAGAGGTCAAAATGAGAGAAGAGAATTTAAATTGTACCTTATCATTGACCAATTGGAAGCACCAAATATGTTTTTTTTTTTTAACTTTACCTTTACCCGAAAACATTTATCAAAGGCCTTACACTTTTTATAGCCTTTACTTTCATTTCTTCCTCCCTCTTATCTCGAGCCTCAGGTTGGACCTCAACCTTGTGATTTTAGCCTGAGCATCAGTAAACTTCAATCGACTATTTTTTCATAGATTCGATTGAGGCCTTGTCAATCGATACAGCCTTCAATTTCATTATCAACTTGTCCATCTTTTTTTTAGCTCAGCCTCTTCTTGTAGGATGTACTAAGCTCGACCTGACATTACCCAATGCCTCTGAGCTCTTTTGTGCTCTTTGGCAAGGGTAGCCATAGTTTTCTCAACCTTCAACATATGCCTATGGCAACATAAACATGATAAAGGCCTAGCTGCTGTTTTTCATAGGTTGAGTGGTAACTTTTTTTAAACTACATGAAAAAGCCTTAGACTTAGAAAAATAAAAATAAAAATAATAATAAAAAATTAAGCTGAAGTCATGAGATACTCACCAAGAAGAGGAATTGTGATCCTTACAGAACCTCATAAAAAATGTTAGAGATGGGCTTATCCATTGGAGCATACTCTAATCCTTACAGATATTCTCTTCGAGCTAGGCCTTAACACCTTAGCTTTAGGGTTTTTAGGAGTAGAAGACAAGGTCTCCACTGGTGGTCTTTTGGTTGAAAGAGGTGTGTCAATACCAATGTGAAAGATAGGTCTCGACCTGTCTTAGCTTTTAACTTTTAACCTGAGAGAGTGCGGGGCATAGAGGTGTTAACCACCTTGTCGTCCTTACGAGACGGGGCCTCGAGCTAGATTTTTTTTTTTTGAAGCTTTAAAGTGTGTTGGTATAGTAAGACGTTGAAGTATTTGCCATTGGCCATCTCTGTAAAATTGAGGTAACATTTAGATAAAAATTAACTTGAAACAAAATCCTATGAGGTTACTTCAAACCTATCATAATACTTTATCCTGTTTATCATTTTCAGGAGGTTAGCTTGTGGGCATTAATGACGAGCTCTTTTTTATATGTAAAATCTAAAATTCTATCTCAATTTGATAGATCAGAGATGGAGAGGGTCATTTGTACCTCTACAAAGGAGCTAGGTGTACTTTTTATTTCTCAGGCCTTAACCTTGGGCTCACTATCTTTAGTTACCTTTTGTTTCTCAAAGTATAGGAAAAATAGCTTTCAATTCTTTATTGAGCTCAAGCAATTGGCAAGAAGTTTTTTATTTGATTGAGCTATGATATAAAATCACATGCTGTTACTAGGATATTTTTTAAGAAAGAAGAACTCTATGAATAGAGGGAGAATGAAGAATATATAGTTATTGACAAAGAATAATAAAAGTGACTATGTATCGAATAGAATTTGGGGTAAGCTGAGTGATTGTCAAATTATAAGAATAAAAAATTGAAATGAACAAATGATGAAGTGAAAAATTTAGACCAGCCATGAACAAATCTCAATATATGTAAAGTCGATGTGACTTTAGTCTATAGGTAACCTGGTCTAAGAAGTTCGACATTATTATACTATAGCCCTTTTTGAGAAAAAAAAAGTGATACCCAGCACAAACGTGATGTGCCAAGCACATATTAAGATAGTTTTTTGGATTTGCCCTGCCTTTTAGCTTGCTTATTATGTATTTGGGGATCACGCCAAGGTTACACGGAGTATATATAGGGATCTTGGCAAGTTCGTCTCACTTTACAGGACTTTTTCCTTACCATCACTTTCTTCAGTTGAAGTGTTCCCTCTCTCTTGTTCCTCATTGGAACCCTCATCGTTAGAAGAATCTAGCTTTTAAGTAGGAGACGAATCTTGAGGAAAAACAGTGGATGAAAATAGCTTGATCCTAGATAAAGAAAGATAAGGTAAAAATCTCTCAAGAGAGGATGAGATATCTAAAAAAAATTGATTGAAAGGAAAATAGAAGTGGGAAGAGATGAAAAAGATCGTACTGTAAAAAGGAGAATGACTAAAAAAAAAAAGGTCAACCATAAAAGATGGATCGACCTGAGAGATAAGGACAGCAGGTGGATGTTGAAGGTCGAAGTTGATTTAAGCACATAGTTTTTTCGTGTTCAAAACTCATTTGCCTCTTGTCTGAGCATTCTCTTTATTGCGCTGTTGCCCTTCTTTGGACATCAGGTTGAGCCAATAAACTGTCTTTGCATAATTACGACCCCTAATAATAAGGAGGATTAGGTCGTCATCTTGCTACCCTTGTTGACCTCTCATTGGCTCTATCTTATAATCTTAGCTTATCCAAAACTCATACTAGAGGACATAGTTAGAAATACGTACTGAAGTAGGTGTAGAAAAAACTTTAAAGGCTAGAAAGCTATTGAAATAAAAAATTTTATGTCAGATTGAGAGCAAAGAAAGTAAAAGGTGGAAAGCTAAAGCCCTACTAGCCCTTTTTATAGATATGCTGTAGACCAAATGGATGACATGTTCCACACCACATGTCAAAGCATGAGCAGGTATATGTCTTTTCATCTTTTTACTTTAAATTTTCTCGCTCAAACCACTTCTTTTCTCATTTAATGCTGTCAGATCGGCCTAACTAAATGAATCCCAAGATGCACCTCCTAAACCGAACAACTGTTAAGGGTAAATCAAACTCCCGATTTACTTTTATGGTTTAAAATAGATGTTTAAATTTAAATTTTTGAAAGAAAATACAGTTCTCACCATAACCAGATGAACTCCAACACTAATATCAAATCACCTCATACAATTATAACATGGACAATCTGTAAATCAATTATGCACTCAGTCTAGAACACACGCGCAAGATCGGATAACCGTCAGGTTGGACCGTGGCTCAAAGCTAGTCATCATCCAAATCGACCTCCTCGTGCAATGTCGGCCTTTGATGAGCCAAGCTACCAATCTGTTCCTTCAACCAATCTATCCCACGTCTTAGATGTCAGTAATAAATTTGGTGATTTGATACTCAGACCTCCTGATAGAAAGATAGAGTGTTAAGGGCATTTGATGATTAAAAGGGTATAATAATCTTTTCCCCTCTCAAAGCCTTCAGTAGACAATCAGGGATATCTTTGTCATTTGTGCCAACCTGATCTTATATGGTTAGTGCCACCTGAGCTCGATCTTATCCTAATTGTCCCCTTATGATCCTTTCAATTTACTTATAAATATGAAAATTCAAGCATAATGAAGCTAGGTTTATTCCACTTACTCTCTCACCTTCTTACCTTCTTACTTTCTTTTTTATATGATTTTTACTAACTTACGTATTAGAATGCAAACGTAAGAAACACTTCCTATCTTTAGCCATAATCATTCTTTCTTTTTGCATTTACGAAAATATCCTCGGGTTAGAGCTCAGTACTAACATAAAATAATAAATTTCTAGTTACATTTTAAATCTTGAAGTATAAATTAACGCAAAGTTGAGATTGTAAATTCAATCAAAAAATTAAAATAAATCCGAAAGGAGAAAACGAGATCAAGAGGAGTTTAGGTGATTTTAGTAAATTTTCGAGGTTGCTTGGCGACAATAACAACGGCCGATGATGATACTACATCGGAATCTGGACTTTGAATGGTGGCAGGCGGTGGAGATTGAAAAATGAGAGAGAAGAGTGAGGTTATAGAAATAAGGAATGAGGAAATAAAAATATAGGCTTTATAAGAAGCTGATCTGGCAATAAAAGTGGCATCTGACGTGGGAGGTACATCGTAAAGTGATTGGATTTATAATATTAATAAATTTCAATAACCTTATCGGATTAAGTGATCTGGTTAGGATTTTAATTAGAGTTCGATGATGAATTTTACTCCAATAATTATCCTATTTATTCTAACTTTTTTTTTGGGTGGATGGTTGATACCTGACGAGTGACAACGGTGCTGAAGGTGGGAAAATAAAAAGAATGCGAACTGAATCAAAATTTATTTTCTATTTGTTAGGAAAAAGTTATTGTTAAGAGAGAGAGTATAAAACTATAAATCCACTAATCAATAAACCACATTAATTTTTTATCATAGAAGAAGGAAAATTTGAGCCTGTTCTTTAAATGAAAAAAATACATATATTATTATTGAGTCGAATGTTTATATAAAATTATATATATATATATATATATAAACTCTCATACTAAATATCATACTAATTACACAATTGCTGGGTCCACTAATTCCATGATCATCATCACCTTCATTTTGCATAGAAGCCTTTGATCCTGTGTCAAAGGTACAACGGAGAGAAAGAGTCAAATTATGCAATGTAGCAAATGATAAATGTAAATTTAGATCATCATAGATTCTGGAGGTAGCAGGACAAAAAGAAAAATCCTGGTCTCCTGTTCTGGCACTTTCATTTTCATCTATATTTTATGCATAATGGTTTAATCTTTTTTTTTTTTTTCTCATTTCCCTTTTTGAATCCTGCGGGAGGGGGAGAGAGTTCCATCTCCAACTGTCTTCCTCTGGCCATTTTAGTCCCCCTCCCTTTTTTTTTTTTTTTTTTTCTTTTCTGCGTATATATATAACAATACAACTCTCATTATTGTCAAGTACTGACAAGAAAAAGAGCAGCCAACTTTCAAACTCTCTCTCTCTCAACTCAACCAACATACACATAAAAACATGGGGAGAGCTCCTTGCTGTGACAAAGCTAACGTGAAGAAAGGCCCATGGTCGCCGGAGGAAGATGCGAAGCTTAAGGCTCATATAGAGGCAAACGGTACCGGTGGCAACTGGATTGCCTTGCCTAAGAAGATAGGTTAGCCACCTAGCAGCTAAAGTTTAATTAAACCAGCTTTCAACTTCTTAGATATCACTATGTATACTTTTTCTATTTTCTTTTGGTCTAAGTTTAATTAAACCAGTTTTCAGGGCTCAAGAGATGTGGCAAGAGCTGTCGTCTTAGATGGTTGAATTATCTTCGACCCAACATCAAGCATGGAGGGTTCTCAGAAGAAGAGGATAACATAATCTGCAGTCTTTACATAAGCATTGGAAGCAGGTAAGCTGAGTATAGTTAGGATATTTTCTTCTTAATGTAAACAGAACTCGAGCTCTAATTTATATGTTTCTTTTGAATATAATGCACAGATGGTCTATAATTGCAGCACAACTGCCTGGGAGAACTGACAATGATATTAAGAACTATTGGAACACGAGGCTTAAAAAGAAGCTCGTTGGTAAACAGCGAAAAGAGCAACAAGCTCGGAGAGCTAGCTGCCTCACCCTTAAGGAAGAGATGAAGAGAGAAAGTGAGAATTATGTGATTCCTGGAATGGTGAGCCAACCCCCATACTGGCCACAGCTACCAGCAGTCATGCCCTTAACAAGCACAAGCCAAGATTCTCACCTCAAGGAACAAGAATCCCTCAGGAATTTGCTTATAAAACTAGGAGGAAGATTCTCTGACGATCATCCACAATCAAGCGCCAACACCACCAGCAACAATCCCATGAATTTTGGATACCCTCTTGGTGTTTCCTTTGTTCAAGATCAGTTATATGAGAATTCCATGAACATGCTTTCATTTTTATCTGCATCTTCCATTAGTCCCATAAACAGTACTTGTTCTCAAGTGACAAACAGTACCCACTTTAATGTTAACGAGGCTGCTGGTCCTAATGATATGTTTCAAGGGATTGATGGTTTCCCAGCTGAGCTAAGTGAGCTAATCTACAGTAACAATAAACAGATATTGGATGGATTAGAGGGTTTTTATGGAACGGACAACATGGTCGATGGCAGCAGTACTGGGACTAGTTCCGTTGAAAGTAGCAGCTGGGGAGATATAAATTCACTATGCTATCCTCAAATTGTCTCTGCATTTGAAGCTTGCCAACAAAGCATGCCACAAGTTTCTACCTTTGATGAATCAACCTATTTCGGGCCACATTAACTGCACTATACATGGGTGGTGTAAATTTGTATCAACTAGGGAATTAATTTGGTGTCAGACAATTTCAGAAAATTTTCCTAATGAATAAATGCAGAGAATATTGTTTAGTTTTGTAATTTGATATATTTTTATGATTTTGCCATTTCCTTTCTTCTCAAAAGTTCATTAACTACTTTGATTCATGGATATAAACCGCTTCTCTTCTAGCTTCTCTTTAGCTTTTAACATTTAGACTTGTTTGCTTTGTTTCAATAATGGTAAACGTTGGATTTCTAAATCTGCTTTGTACTTTGAATGCAGTCATATATTTGTAACCTCAATTTGCTTTTATTAAATTTCTGGTCTCCTGTAACAGCACTGTCTGAGGAACTTTATGGTATATTTCTTAATTACAATGCAAAAAGTACAACTTTTTTGTCTTCTTTGCAACACATGGGTTGAATCGCATCTGCTATAAATTAAGGCCCTCCTAGACATCCATGAAAAGGCACAGTACTAAAGTCGCTTTGACGTTTTGGCCACAACTTACTAGGCTCTAGCTAGCAAATTGGGGTATCTGACTGTGGCTTCATTCTTTTATTTTTATTTTCATGTCTGCAATTAAAACATTTGGGAGCTTTGAACGCGTGCTCAGTCCATGTCATGTACTTCCTTCCAACTAGAAGTAAGGCCAACTTGTAATTCAATTTACTCCGTAGTAGTAATTTCTACACTATTTTTCTGTCTGGTGGGGCGATATCAAGTATATCTGCTAGACAATAACAGAGTATCCATTGTCTTATCTCAGTAAAACCCTTCCTTGCTAGCTCTTGGATTATTACATTGTTTTTCTCTGTAACCTTCTTTATACGATTTATCTTGTCTCGTTTGCTTGATGGTAATTATTTCATAGCTAGCCAGACTAACCATTAATTCTTGGTCATCTTCTCAACGAAATTTCTTATGTTCTACCAATTATGTATACCCTTAGGAAATGAAAGTGATTTAGCCATAAAGAATTAATGTAGGAAGACTTCAAGATTTAATAAAAAATTAATTTAATCTCATATCTTAAATCTATTAAAATCAATGTTTAAAAAATATATATAATTAAAAAAATACACTGTATAAGTTAATCTCTTCTCTGTATTTTATATATGTATATATATCACTTTTAAGGTTATGAATCTCTTGAGATCCTCCACTCCTTGATTTATGGCATGGATTTAATTAATAAGAAAGAATAAAAATAGAAAAAAAATATTGCACCATTATTTATTTCCAAAACAAAGTTACTCCCACTAAGTTAAAAAGATTATACTAAACATTTGAAACATGTCTATGTTCGTATTCTCAAGGCAGATTACGTACTAGTTGAGGTGAAAAATTAATTAAGTATTCAAAAAATATTAATATCTCTCTTTTGATCTTGGTGAAAAATGGCAATTTGTTGCATTACTTCCTTTGTTGGGAGCAAAATCTAAAGCAGAATCTTTTTCGTACAAATATTAATCAGTGTTTTATATATCTTACAAATATAATACTATATAACAAATATATGTCTGATACTCTCTCTCTCTATATATGGAGCTAAAGCATGCATGCACTTTCTTTCAATAATTTTTTTAATGGCCATCCACCATTATCCACTCACCAAGAGAAAGGTAAAGAGAAAGAGGGACGATGGGGTTTCCTTTTCTTTTCTTTTTCTTTTTTTTTTTTTTGTCAAAACAAGTTTGGTGTTGGTATGAAATGAATTTCCCAATAATGATAGCTAGAGAAACTTGGACACCAGGGTAACATAATATGAAAGGAAGAAAAGAAAAAAAAAAGCACCCAATATAGATTTAATTAATTTGATTCAACGCATGTTGACTGTGATGACTTAGCATAGCAGCTCATTTTTTTTTTCTATTTTTATATATTATTGGGAGAATTGTAAGAGGAAAGAGGACTGGTACGTAGGAGAAAGGAAAAAAAAATGAAACTTTGTAGATTTGATAATTTTAAGTACGATACGATGATACGTTATGAAAATTATATGAAAAAAATCGCATATTTATTTAAATTTTTTTTTTTGTGTTTATTCGTGTTATTATAAATTTTTATATGAAAAATTTATACATATATGTGTTGACACATATAAGCATGAAACATGACACGAATAATATGTTTGATTTAATTTTATCATATGGATATACGTTTAATATGTTTAACATGTTTAACATGTTTTTTATGTTTATTTTAATTTAATGTAAACATATAAAGATAATTTTAATTTTTAATCTTTTAATAATGATACTTAATTAGCTATTTAATATCATATAAAAATTATTTTAAATATTTAATTATGATATTCATTTAATAATTATTATAAAATTATTTTTTATATTAATAATATAAATATTAATATTAATTTTATACATTATTATTTTATTTTTTAATCTTTAATAGTTTTTCATTTTGAATTTATGCTAAAAATTAATATAGTTATGTAATATAAATATAAATATATATATTAAATATATATTAAATGAGTATTAAATTTTTATATTTTTTAATATGTAAGTACTTTTTTATATTATTAATATATCAAATTTATTAAGCTATAAATAATGAATAATTTATGATTATTTATTATTTTAATTATATTCTTATATATATTCATGTTAATCATATTTATTTATATATATATTTGTATTAATCGCATCTATATATAAATATTTTTATTAATCGTGTTTATATATATAATATTTAAAGTAAATTAATTATATACGTATTATGAATTTATAATTTGTGTTGTGTTTTAAATGTATCAAAGATACGAAACAACCTTGAAACAGGAATTGCCAAATCTCCGTATTTGTGTTTTTGGGTCTATGCTAAAGTCAAAAAGAGATAAAAAGAGCAGCACCATATAGGTTAAACAAAATTGACCGGATTCTTCCTAGTCTTGCCAGCATTCAAGATTTAAGTATTTGCTAAGTCAATCATGCATCACTTTCAAATTAAATGTCAAGCAATTACGTAGCCATAAAAAGAAGAAAATTAATGGAAAAAAAATGTAAATTCTTGTAAGTAGACTTTTAGAAACCTACAAGTTGAGTAAAAATCCATAAAATAAAACCAAGACTCTCTCACCTTTCCATAAAACCAGGCATCATTTGAATTATTCACTGTTCACAAACTAAAATAATGCAAACATCAATCAAATTTTAAATCGTCAAGACTACGTGCTTACTTTAAGGTCAAAACCGGACCAACTCAATTAATTGATAATTGATTTACACGCAGCTGTTGCAAATTAGATGAAATTGTTTTTACCTTTATCTTGACTTTCCTCTTGATTTCGTTTGGTAAGCCAAGATAAAATAACTTTTCTATTTTGTATTAGAATTGGTTGACAAAATCGGAAGAAACTGTGATTTAATTTTGCCCATATATGTAGAAATCTTGAAGTCTGTTTGCAAAAGCCAACTCTCAAATCAATCATTCAGTGCAAAATCATTAGAAGCTTTTTTGTTTTTTAAGTTAAATGTCGCTTGCTTGCTTTATATATGTCAACATGTTTAGTTGTTGCCATCTATATAACCCTTATTTTTCCATCAAAACATTTGTATTATTGTACCATTTAATGTAAAATAAGGTGCGTGATTCAAATCATGCTTTTGAAATACTGAACAAAGGACGAGATTTATAAAATGAAAGAGAGTGATCGCATATTATTTTGTTTGAAATAACTCAAATTTAATAAACTTTGAATGGAATGTAGACATATAAGTTGAGTTGAATCTTTGTTAAAAATTACTAGTTCTAACCCACCTAGCTTATCATTGGCCCTTTTGAAAGTAGCAAACTTAATTATTTCTATCTAATTCAATAAAAAATTATGTTAATAAAATGATATTAAACATGTAAGCAGTGACATCAGTGAATGAGAACATATATTTGGACTGCATACAAGGCGCAAGCCGTCACGTACCATATTGTCAAATGCTTTCAAATTTGAATTTGTTAATGTTCAAGACTCAAGTTTCAACAACAATCCAGGGCACCAAGTTTTTGCCTAGAAACTCAAAACATTTCCGACTTCCTTTTTTAGTATAATCAAGGTTACTGGTATGCATGAATTGAAAGAAAATTTTATGGAATAACTCCAAAAGCAGAGAAAAAAAAGTAGTCTATGTAATTTCCAGGAAGCTCCAAGACTTTTCCACATGAATCACGATTTGGTTTCAAGGAAGCTTCAACAAGAATGCTATATGGCCTGCAGGTTGGCTTATGGAGAAATTAAGTGGGTGGCTGCCAAGCATTACAACTAACAAAATACATTTGGAAAAGTGAAAGGAATAATCCTTTAGAAGAAGAAGCAAAAGAGAAACAATCTCCAAGGATACAACCAAAAATTCCAAAAATTCAAGTATAGTTTTCAAGGGCGCATTCTGTCAATCCCATGACAATAATTTTTTTCTTCTAAAACAATTATAATCAAACTCTAAATGAAACCTTGATTGAAGGCTTAGGTCACCCATGCCGCGACAAAAGCCACCCGACGACTTTCTTTTATGCTTTTTGCTTTTCAATTTGGATTAAAATCTAATAAATTAATCAATCCCACTTTATCTATTTTATAGTATATTTAGTGATATGGACACTCACTAACACAAGAATAATATAATACATAATTTTTTTTTCTAAATTTCCCATTGTGTTCTGATCTTCAAAGTTAGCTAATTTGTTTTTATTAGTTAAAGAATATTGATTGTTGCCTTGTGGAAATGGGTGTTTCTGTTTATTCTTTTTCCATGAAGTAGTTTGGCTGGTTTTTGTCAAAGGATAGTAGTAAAGATTTTTATAGCTAGTGTCGTTAATGGAATAAGAATACTCAAATTTCTGTTCAAATTGGCAGTATCTGGGTGAATATATGTTGTTGTTTTAATGGCTAACTTTGCTGTTTATTGGGATCAAATTTTAATTTATTAGTAGTCTTGAGATAAGAGTCAAGTATAATAATCAGTTTG